AAAAGAAATGAATACAAATTGTCAGATCATCAATTGCAATGAAACACTGAAATATGCTTCTTTCATCTGTGCTCTTATTTTGGAAGGTGTAAACACATTCATAAGTATAAAGCTACATAAGCAATTTCTCACATGAGTAATCCCATTATATACAATGGGATTGTTTCCATGAACCGCTGCTCTCCCAATGAGAGCATCTGGCATCAAAAGTATAAGGACATTTCTTACTACCACAGAACTAATACAGCAGGATGATAAATCTGCCAGAAGCTTCATCTTTGTTACCAATTTGATTACTTAAGTGCTGAAATGTTTCTTCTATAGGACATGTAAGCTGTGTGACATTGGAACAGTTTTTGTCTTAGCAGATTTATTTTGCAGCTGTGGAAAACACCATGCATGTGATTTGAAGGGGAACTCTCTTCATATGGTTGTTTTTTTACTTGATAAGAAGGCCAGGCAGATTCCATTTAGAATAAACTTCACACAATTGTTATATGCCACCCTCGGATGTTGTAAAACCTAGTACTCTGGTCTAGGGAAAAGATTTAATGGAGCTATTTACATTTTCAAACATCAATAAAAAGGAATGTATCTATTTGAATTGTGCCTGTTGAGTGCCTGAACCACTACCTGAAACATTGAATTACTTTTGGTAATACAAGTGTAAGTGTAATCCTGTGAAACATTACACATGGGGATTTCACCAAATCCCATATGAGTTCATCAATAAAATGCACTACCCAACAATAAAATGAAATAAATAAAATGCACTACCAAACAATAAAATGAAATAAATGCTGCTATGATATTTCTGTCCCTTGTCTGCAGAATTCAACTCTGGGATGTTTGCCAAGCACCAACTTTTCACTGTCAGGCCAAAAACGTTTTTATTCTCCCAGGCATTTGGGCGCTAATAGTGTTGTGCCTTTGGGTGGCTTTTGGCTATTTCTGTGTTCATCCAAGTGTAGAGTGGGGGAAAGGGTATTTTCATATTTTTAGGCAGGATTCAACTTACCTGGTACAGAAGCCAGCACAAGGACTCCTGCTTGTGCAATGAAGCTTTCCCCCTCTCCCCCCCCCCAGTGCCCCCATCTGCTCTGAAGAGTTGGGAGAAACTTCAAAACACTGCATGGGGGGGTGAGCAGGAAAGGGGAGATCTTTCCATGTATCAAGCAGAAATGCTTGCACTGACAGAATGATTGCCTTAGCACTGCGTTGAATTCCTCTCCCTAGTCTTAAATACAGTGGTGCCTCGCAAGACGAAATTAATCCGTTCCGCGAGAGTCTTCGTCTAGCGGTTTTTTCGTCTTGCGAAGCAACCCTATTAGCCGCTTAACGGATTAGCGCTATTAGCAGTTTAGCGGCTATTAAAGGCTTAAAGGCTTAGGGGATTAGCTGCTAAAAGGCTATTAAAGGCTATTAAAGGCTTAGCAGATTAGATAAAGGGGGGGGGAAGCGAAAAAAAAATCTCAAGACTCGCAAGACATTTTCGTCTTGCGAAGCAAGCCCATAGGGGAATTCGTCCTGCGAAGCAACTCCAAAACGGAAAACCCTTTCGTCTAGCGGTTTTTCCGTCTTGCGAGGCATTCGTCTTGCGGGGCACCACTGTAGATTAGTGTAGATGAATATTTTTGTTCCATTGCTTTTAAAATATGTAGTTGTGATGAGTAGTAGCATTGGATTCCTCCCCCCCCACCCCCGGCAAGTCACTTTGGACTATTTTTGTCATGAATCATCAATCAGCTGAAAGAAATAACATAACCACGAAACTGATGCCTCACTTCATCCAGCACTAATAATGAGAATAAGTTATTCACTACTTCTTTGGGATCTAATTCTGCCCCCTTCACCCTTCCTCCATTTCTTTAAGGTTTCTGAAACAGAAATAGTAGTAGTAACAACAGCAGCAGCAACAACAACAACAACAACCTCAGTAATAGCCCTATCATTGCATGTGACTAGTGTGTTCAGGTGTTCATTCCAGTTTGTGGAATGGCAGCCTCAGCCTCAGCATCCAATGCCTCTGGCACCGATATCTGCCCTGGACCCCTTGCGTCAGATGACACTGTTTCAATTTTTTCACTATTATCCAGAGCACCTAATGCAGCATTGCTCTGGGGCATTGCAGGAGATTTAAAGAGTTGAGGCCACTTTCCCACAATGACCTGGAGTGATGTCATGATGAGTACTTGTGCTCCGTGAGGAATTTTAAGTGACAGCTTGTAGCTGCCTACCACTACCAAGGGCAATATGTATCTGAAGTAATTTGGAGACCATAGGAGTAAAGACCTGGCTGCTTCCAGGCTGTTACTATTTTGCTGGTGGGATTCAGTCATATACCAGCAAACTGAGATTGCAGAATTAAGGTGGATTTGGCTTTCTTGTGCAACAAACTAACTTCTTAAGAAGTTAATGTTTTTGCGGTAAGGATAGTGATAGGAAAATGCACTGGGAAATGTGGGACTGCTTGACATGATGTTGCATAATCTCAGTGGGGGGAAATTAGGATGAATGTTCAGTCAACAGCAGACATCATAGAAGCTCCATGCAAAATTTGCAAAACCAAATCAGGACGAATGTCACCTGGTCAATTGGAAGAGCCCCCAACTTGCATCTAGGGAAGGGGACTAACTCAGCAACACTGAGCTAGGCATTTGCAGCACATCACATTTTCTGTTATGACAATAATATTTCCTCACTATACTTCTCAGAATATCTCCCAAAAGCTCATTTCATTTATATTAATTTGTCAGGTTATAATGCTATCCATCATGCACTCATCCTCAATTGCTTTGAGTACAACTTTATGGATTTGTGATTGGCTCCACACAGATAGCTGTTAAGTGTGGAGATGCTGGGGGGGGGGTGCAAGCAAGAGTTTCCATTTATTATTAGAATGAAATGCAAGCTATAAACAAGCCCTAAGTTCCACTTGCCAAAATGAATGAAGGTTGCAAAGAATCAGTGGTTTTTGTATTGCATTCATAAATGTTTTTCTGTTGATTCTCAAAGGCATCCTTTGCAAGCATCCATTGGGCATGGCATTAGCACCAATGTTTTAAAATGTCTTGTTGAAATGTTACTATATGAAGATAACATTAAATTAGTAATCAAATCCTATTTGTATGTTTTCTTTGCAAAGCAATTACTGCAGGGTTTCTAATGCTCTGCATAAATTGCGACCATTTTTAGGAAAATGTTAATTTATACTGCAGAATGACATGAATAATTTTAGATATTTGGATTTTTAGAAAATGTTTATCACTACTATTTCTTTTTTGCTTTAAGATATGGCCAGATGTTATTGTTTTGAAAGTTAGAGGTTGGAATGTTTTTCTATAGTAGTTTTGATACTTATTTGCCAGATTGCATTGACATTTAAAACCTTTGCAGCTTCCACAGAGTAGATAATCTCTTTCTATAATAATTGCTTGGAGAATGAAATAGTTTAATTGTTGAATGAAAATGGCATTTTGAAAAATAGAATTTGTAATGGATGTAAAAGGCTGCTCCAGAGTCAGACGTGAACGCCAAAATTCTTGATTGCTTCCCTCAAGTGTGTGAATCAGAGCCATAGACTAAATGCTTATTGATAGCTAACATCTTTGCAGATTTTAATTAGTATAACATCCATCGGTTTATAAGAGCCACTTGCATACCACAGGCCAGGGATGATCAACTTTTGTATACTTCAGGGTTACTTTATTTTCCGGGCTATGCTTTATTTTTTGAAAATAAATTCTACAACTCACTTCTCCGCTTAAAACTCTCAAACTGAGGAACAAAATTGAAACAACAGTTTAAATATTAAGGCCACAATCATAAAGTTGGCCCAAAGCCAGCTAAGAGGATTTAGGAAAAGCCACTCCACTGGCAATGGGGAGCTCCACTAGCACCCCCCCAAAGACCTCAGTGCACCCACAGAAACTTCTATAGGTGCAGATGTATCACCAGCTGTAGGGCTTAAAAGGGAGCATGCCAAGGCAGATTTCAGAAGGTCATAGATGTCCTTTGTTCCCCCACCACCTCTCCACCGTTGGGGAAATATTGGCGTTCAATACCGAATACCTGGTGGGTTCAGCTTGGCTGGCCAATAAGATCTAGACTCCAGTTGTCAGTCAAACAGGATGCTAATTTAGGTATTTCAAGGTCAGTGTGGCACAACCTCAACGACTATGTAGTGGACAGGTGGCACACCAAATAGGAACAAAGCACAAGCATTTATACATTTAGAAACAAAGGGAAGCAGGGACTTCCGGGGTGGCGCCATCGGTAATGGCGGACTCCCTCTGAACTGGAGGGACAAGCTCCGCATGAAACGGGTCTTTTCCGCTACGGCGAAGCGGGGACCCTTCTGGAAATCACAGGCGGATGAAGCCTGTGACCGTGGGACTCAGCGGGCACCCTTAGCGCCCCCCCAACCCGCAAAGGAACCCACTAACGGGCTTCGAAGCGAAGAGGGGGAAGTGGCGCGGTGCTGTGAGTCAATTGCTTTTTCTGCGGAGCGAAGCCGCATAGCCGTTGCCGGAGAGCGCTGCCTTTTTCCTGGGACAATTTGGCATCTAAAATAACCACCCGTGAGTACTGGAACATTGAACATTTGGACTTTAAATAAGAACTGGCAAAATAGAAAGGAATTTGGACTTAAAAATTTACCTTAATTTGGTACTGAAACGGTAAGGTCTAAACAGGAAGTCAGCCTTCCGTTTCCTTGTAGCCAGAATAAAGCAAAGAAAACATAAACTAGAGCTTTAAAAATCACTTTCAAAGGATTGGTTTTCATAATTTAAAATCGCTGAACCCCCCTTCGGTAGCAGGAGAACAAGGGGGATCTTTTTGGGGCTGTTTAAACCTGCAGAAGTGAGTTTAAAGCAAAGTAATTTTCCACCGTCCTGATCCTGGAGCGGGGTGTCAGAATTGACGTTTGAAGCTCATTGACCAGAAACAAATGTCTTTGACAGATAGTTAAAAGAAGAGAAACATAGTGGAAGGGCAAGGTGGCAGGGAGGTTAGTGCAGTGCAAACACACTGGCAGGAGCACTGGATTGACTCCGCCAGTGCGTCTGCACTGCACTAACCTCCCTGCCACCTTGCCCCTCCAGCTCCTGGTAAGCAACAGTGACTGTCCTGCTGGGAAGCTAGTGTAGTGAGCCACTTTTGGTAGTGATTTCATCATCCATTGACATCAGTGTTAGGGGAAATGGGGGTGCAGAGACAACAAAAACCCCAAAAGGCCACCCCTCAAATGCCTTCCACCTTGACTGGAACAATCCATGGGGCTTAGGAAGTGGAAGTTCCTTCATCATAGGATGTCCTACCCACCAACCCCACATCCATACCTTATCATCGCCTAGTACCACTGCACTCCCATGCCAGCTTACCTGTGTATACGTAACATTGAGCTCAACAGACGCATTTAAGATTAATATACTCTAAATCAATAAATAATCTGAACAAGCAGAGGGACAATTTATTATAGAACCTTAGTAAGGTGGCTGCTCCCAACTTTTTACAGAACTTGGCCTTCTGCCTTTCTTAGAAGTAACTTTTTATGTTTACTAAAATATTTTAATGGGAAGGCATTCCCAAACGAGATTGGCTAATAAAAGGAGACATTTATTTTTCATACATTTATATACTGCTTAATGCCAAGAGAGTCTCTAAGCAATTTATAAACATATCAGACACAATAGACAGATGACAAACTATTAATGTTAAAAACTACAAAAATGAAAAAGACAATAACATCTCTGAAATGCCAAAACAAACAAACAAACAATGGCACATTTTGAAGACATCGGGAAGAGTTAGGGTCCCTGACAAACAAACAGCAAGCACATGTGAAATAAATTTATTTTTTGTAATAAAAGAGGGGAGGGAGAAAAAGAGAAATGGTTGACTGTCATTTCTGGTTTGAGCTTTACTACTACTTTATGAACTATATCAGGATACCAGAATAACTAAGGAGATAGTACAAGAATACTTGGCTAGTTTAGATGTATTCAAGTCTCCAGGGCCAAATGAACTGCATCCAAGAGTATTAAAAGAACTGGCAGATATGATCTCAGAACCACTGACAGTCATCTTTGAGAATTCCTGGAGAACAGGTGAAGTCCCGTCAGACTGGAGGAGGGCAAATGTTGTCCCTATTTTCAAAAAGGGGAAAAGAGAGGACCCAAATAATTACCGCCCAGTCAGTCTGACATCAATACCAGGGAAGATTCTGGAGCAGATCATTAAGCAAACAGTCTATGAGCACCTAGAAAGGAATGCCGTGATCACCAATAGTCAGCATGGATTTCTGAAAAATAAGTCATGTCAGACTAACCTGATCTCGTTTTTTGACAGAATTACAAGCCTGGTAGATGAAGGGAACGCAGTGGATGTAGCCTACCTTGATTTCAGCAAGGCATTTGACAAGGTGCCCCATGATATTCTTGTAAAGAAGCTGGTAAAATGCGGTCTTGACTATGCTACCACTCAGTGGATTTGTAACTGGCTGACTGACCGAACCCAAAGGGTGCTCATCAATGGTTCCTCTTCATCCTGGAGAAGAGTGACTAGTGGGGTGCCACAGGGTTCTGTCTTGGGCCCGGTCTTATTCAACATCTTTATCAACGACTTGAATGATGGACTCAAGGGCATCCTGATCAAATTTGCAGATGACACCAAGCTGGGAGGGGTGGCTAACACCCCAGAGGACAGGATCACACTTCAAAACGACCTTAACAGATTAGAGAACTGGGCCAAAACAAACAAGATGAATTTTAACAGGGAGAAATGTAAAGTATTGCACTTGGGCAGAAAAAATGAGAGGCACAAATACAAGATGGGTGACACCTGGCTTGAGAGCAGTACATGTGAAAAGGATCTAGGAGTCTTGGTTGACCACAAACTTGACATGAGCCAACAGTGTGACGCGGCAGCTAAAAAAGCCAATGCAATTCTCGGCTGCATCAATAGGAGTATAGCATCTAGACCAAGGGAAGTAATAGTGCCACTGTATTCTGCTCTGGTCAGACCTCACCTGGAGTACTGTGTCCAGTTCTGGGCACCACAGTTCAAGAAGGACACTGACAAACTGGAACGTGTCCAGAGGAGGGCAACCAAAATGGTCAAAGGCCTGGAAACGATGCCTTATGAGGAATGGCTAAGGGAGCTGGGCATGTTTAGCCTGGAGAAGAGGAGGTTAAGGGGTGATATGATAGCCATGTTCAAATATATAAAAGGATGTCACATAGAGGAGGGAGAAAGGTTGTTTTCTGCTGCTCCAGAGAAGCGGACACGGAGCAATGGATCCAAACTACAAGAAAGAAGATTCCACCTAAACATTAGGAAGAACTTCCTGACAGTAAGAGCTGTTCGACAGTGGAATTTGCTGCCAAGGAGTGTGGTGGAGTCTCCTTCTTTGGAGGTCTTTAAGCAGAGGCTTGACAACCATATGTCAGGAGTGTTCTGATGGTGTTTCCTGCTTGGCAGGGGGTTGGACTCGATGGACCTTGTGGTCTCTTCCAACTCTATGATTCTATGATTCTATTCTATGATTCTAGGATGTTGTTGTTGTCGTCATTATTAGCAATCCCATAATCTCCAACATTATGGAGCCGATTTTGGTATGGCATTATCAGTTAATGTTTATAAGAAGCAGCACCAAGAGATTTCTTGAAGTTAAGCATAGAAGAAATAATGATAGGATGTTGTGCTACTATCCATGTTAAAGCAACACATTATAAACACTTAAGAATGATCCTGAGATTATGTGACCACCCATTATTCCCCTGTAATGCCTCATAATTTCTTCAACCGATCAAGGTGTTTTGGAGCCAGATGATATCTTTCCTCATTGGCAAACGCAGTGGCAAAACAACACCTGTGTAATTTGCAAAAATAAATAAATAAATAAACAATAAAATTCCCTGCATATTGAAAAGGTAGAGGTTACTTTCCCTGTGTTACTTTCCGATAGACAGAGCACAATTTTTTACATTCAGATTTCCTATTCCCACCAGCTTCACTAAATCAACTTGCCTAACATTTGCAATTTCCTTTTTTCTTCCTTTCTTCTAAAATGGCATATTCTATTCTTCTGTGCCTGGAGCTGTCTCGCTAAATTCTGCTCTGTATATTTTAATAAAACAGAACTGAAGTGCACTTCTATATCTGGGGCTTTAATGAACATTGGTGCTTAGAGGAAATTGGGCTAGTGTAATAAAAATAACACTGGGTACCAGGTGGCAGAGCGAGTTAGTGCATAAGCCTCTCACCTCTAAAGGCTACAAATCTCACTTAGGTCAAGAAGACAAATTAATTAGTGTTTTGTTTTTCTGCTGCCTTATTTCTCTACCAATTGTTGCTCTGTGGTTTCGTCTGTTTTTATATTGTTTGCTTGGTTTTTTTGTTACAATTACCCTGCAGCCTTGATCACTTGTTTTCAGGATTAGGCAAAACATAGGAATAAGGAAGTTTCAATTAGCCTAACCCTCTAGTACCTATCCAGAGGTGATTGCAAAACACTGTTATAAATATTGTGTAGAAAATGTGGGTAATCTTTCCTTTCCAAATGCAAGTAATGTTTCAGAAGTGCCTCTTGTCACTTCTGTTCATATGGATGCAACGATACATTCAGCCCACAATTAATGGACATATGTCTAAATTGATTTCTCCTCCCATACTAGATTTTGCCTTTCCCTTTACCATGCATTTACCTAAGACAAAATTTCATGTGTTTTTAAAATTCTGTTGTTGTTTCTTTCTTTAAATGGAACAAACATAAATATATAATTTACCATTTTAATGTATTTTTAAGAATTGTTCTAACTGTGATGTTGCACCTTTGATGATATGCTAAATGGTGGCACTAGAAAGAAAAGGTGTGGTGTAGCACAAAAGGGCAAAATGTATTTCTTGGGAGGCAAGTTTTGTCCCCCCACCCCCGCAATTACTGATAAAAGAAGGGGGGAAATACTACTTGTCTTGAGGAGGGGACACTTTCCCATTCTCCCCACTTTGAAGCCAGCTGTGTCATTCTCTCTCTTATAGACACATGCATTCTGGGCAGGGGAGATATTTCTCTCATCACCCCCACAAAATAATAATAATAATAATAATAATAATAATAATAATAATAATAGTAATAATAGGCCTGCGTTTTTCCAAGGATTGAAAAACATATGCTAACAGCGTCTAAAGCCCTTCTCCCTAAAACAATCATATTTGTGATCCAGCTGTATTTATTGAAGAAAAATTGTGGCTGAGCTTTGTGACCTGAAATTAGCTGCTCTTACTTTCCTCGAGATTTGAAGACTAGCCCAGTTTATGGTGGTCACCCTGTTATTGTTAAGAGACTTTTGTACACAGACACCCAGAAAGCTCTCAGAATATCTTGATAGAGAGAATGCTGGTAGTTGGTTAGTGTCTTTGTCTAGTGGGTCAAACAAAAGATGCCCTGTGCACTGCTGTTTTAAAACTTTTCTCTTTAAAGTATGTTTTTTCTGTCTTTGCATTTAAAACCGAGCTGTCTGAAGGTTTTCTCCCTGAGGTCATGGAGAGCCATTGCCAGTTAGAACACTGGTACCAATGATCTGACTCTGTATAAGGCAGCTTCATGTATGAGGAACACTTTATAGGGTTGCATTTTACTCCGGTAAGATTACAAAGAACTCAAATGCTCTAAAAAGTTTCCCATTAATTTTAGTAGGAGCTTGAGAGACAGCCCAAAACCAGGGATGGGAGAGAGACTTCAGGTCCACCAGAAGTTTTTGGACACCAGTTCCTTCTCACTCTTGGCCATTGGCTAAGATAGTTGGGCCTGAAGTTGGAGTCCAACATAAGGTGCAGCGCCAGAGGCCCCACCAGCATTCCCTAAACTTTTCTGTGATATAGGTTTGTGATTATTTGTGTGTATACCACTGCTTAGTTGCAATGAACCACTAGGCATTGCTCTAGGTTTTCAGTGACAAATGAGGTGCTGAAATGGAAAGATAGGAAGCAAATGGAATTAAGTATCTCAAAGTGCAAGGGGAAATGTTAAAATAGAACTAAATGGATTTCTTTCCCTTGTGCTTCTAGTTATTAAGCTCTGTCTCTTCT